TCATATTGCGGTATTTTCCTCAACCAAGCGTTAGCAAAATCTCATGTAGCAGCTGCAAACAAGATTGGAAGCACCTTGTTGTTAGCTAAGACTTCTTCAGCAAACCTTAGCCAAAACCCATCACATTTATCAACACAAATACCAGAAGCTGTCTAGCATATCAACTGCATAAGGGACGCTTTCCGGCGAGTCAAAACAGCAGTTGCTTCTTGCATTCTCCAGGTTTGTTTGATCAACTCGTTGAGGTTTTTGGAAGAACGCGATAAAACAAAACTTGCCAAATCTTTTTGCTATTCTTTCTCTGGTCATTTGCAAATGCGAGTGAAGATGTTTGATTGCGAATATCATGTTTCTGGATGAATTCAGACACATCTATATTCGAGAGTTTTCTCTTTTTTTCTTCAGGTTGGTCACTTAGATGCTCTTTGTCACTTTTACTTGTCGTGGCTACTTGGGGTGATCCGACCTCGTCTAGGTTGGTAAGAGTTGGGCTGTGGTAAACTTTCGCATCATTCTTGCGAATATATGTGTACGTGGTACAACCGCTCCTTTGCAGCAATCACTTGCACTCAACCCATTTCTTCAGACCTGTAAGCTTTAATGCCAGATGATAATGAAAACCATTATCTGAATGTTGCTCCAGACAACATGCCCAGTATTCTCCTTGGCTTAACACTATTTATTTGATCTTTATTCTCAGCCATCACATGCAATAAAATTCCTTCGGAATCCCTCCCTTCAATCAATGTATTTTTCTGTTAAATATGAACTCCTAAACATGTTGGAAGTACATAAATACGTAAGTCGCGTTGTTGTAAACAAGCAAAAGGAAAGGCAGAGTACCAAATAACTAACTACATAAACGCTTTCACTGTAGAAACTCTCCCTGTGAAAAACCGTCTGCACCTGAATACAATGTAAGTTTTTTTAGTAAGTATTCACTCAATAATAAAAAGGCCAACATCCCTGCTCAATTTTTTTACGAAATCTACACAATCATGAAAATTAATTCCTAGACTTCTCTATTCCATTATAAAATACGCCCCTTCCCCCTTGAACAATGTTGGTAGGTGTGTGATATTACATTGGGATTCTTTTCAATCAACATTGTGTGTAACGGCTGTAGCACAAGCTGTTCGAAACGACGACGATTTGCCTACGTCACGACGCGTTTTAGCGTTCGAAGAAACAAATTCAGGGATATATTTTACAGGCAACAATTTATTAGTCTTGACCAAGTAACAACCTTACTCCTCGAGAATCATTAAAGTTGTCGATTATAGTTGTCGTAAACTGAAATAACGAATATAAAAAACTAAGTTCATGCATTCCTAATTAATATACCAGCAAAAACTACTATAACTGTATCTTAAACTAAAGGAATAATAAGCTATACAGATTATGAATACCTATCACATGCACCAAAACATGTTCTAAAAATGCTCAATTTTATCATGCAATTACTAAGACTAACACAATAAAAGAGAAACTACAAACTAACTAAATAACAATCGCAAAAGATAAACTTACATAACAGTCCCGCTTTGTCGAGGCGAATGATGCACAAACCGAGATGTTCGAACAGATGGATGAGTTACAAAAACTTGTTCGAAACTTTTATTACAAGTTTTCTCAACGAATACACATAACCAACTGAGCGAAAAACAAGATTGTGCAAACCTTTACCTGTCCCAAATCCGGAACTAGTTACCGCGTCATAACTAACCACTAATTAACCAAAAAGTTCCTGCTATTGTTCAATCGAGCTGAAAGCCGCTACATTGTGTGTGAGGGGGAAGGGGGGAACAGTTATTAACCCTTTATATAATAATGAATACAGAGATATACATAGACCGTAGTACCACAAAACGAAACAGTTATTAACGTCCCTTATTCTTCTACATTTCCATGTCTGTCGACTTCCTCCATTCTCACATTAGTCATTTCTATCAATTTGTCATGCATTTAAATTCCTTTTAATTAATGTACTCTGAGGTGGTCGTTAGCAAAAAGGGGCGGGTAGGACCACTGGCGAAAAGGTCGAACAAATAAATAGTCATTTTTCTCTACTTGGGAATAGTACCAAACATATGTTACCAGAAGGTGTACATGTAATTATATTATATATATTTGGTTGTATTTGGCAGAAAAATTGTTTAAATAATGGCTGTATTTACTCTATTCTATTTACAGGCAGAGAAGAATTACTTACTGAACATGCATTGATTTTGGAACAAGACAAAAATCATGCTGATGCCTGCAGTTTTGACAAAGACATCAGTACTTTATCCCAGCAACAGCAAAATATAGCAGATATGTGTAATAATAGGCAAAACAAGATTTTCAAGATCTGCAAAAGGAACTCGCTGAAGAAAAAAACGGTGTAGGCTTAACAAATTCAGAGACATGGTTTCAAGATGTGACTAAATCTGCAAGAGGTCTGTATATATATATATATATATATATATATATATATATATATATATATATATATATATATACAGACTTTCGTTCTAGTGTAAACAGGGTCTTAGACTTCGAGTATCTATCTATCTATCTATCTGCGGCCAACGTTTTTGCAAACGGATGTATATATATAATATTATATATATATATAGTTTCAACCAAAAGTCATATTTGCATCATATATTTTCATTTACAATCATGGAAATAATATAGGTAGACTTTTTGTTGGACATGTTACATGACCACAGTGTATAGGCGTTCCGACGCTATACGCTTAGCGAACTTGCGATGTTAGTTATCGACCCCAATGTGACAAATCGTGTTGATTTTGATTTATTCTAACAGAATATAAATACATAAATATTTACATTAATTATACGCAAACTATGACACATCACCACGATTTTACATAACAAACGTTCACATAGACGATAGATAATACGCAAACAAACGTTAATGTCTTACCGAGTGTCGATAATCCGCAGAGTTCTATTTTACAAGAATTTTCCGAGTATTTTTTATAAATTTAAAATGTAACAACCGAAACGTTCTTCCTCTATATTTCTCACGGCCGAAGTGCATGCTTAATTGACGTGGACTCCGCTGCCCGGAAGTGTTGAGTACGTTTACCTCAACACACAGTAATTGCTAGAGATGTGGATTTAACGGTCATACCTAGTGTTTTCCGCACATTTGAATATTTATTATCATTTCGCCATGTATAATTAAAAAGACTTTAAATAATAGTAGCTTTATAATGACCAATTGCCATGGTATTTATACGATCCTCCATGATGATTCGCTTATCATCTGCTGATAATGCTATCTTATTTACCCTCTCTGTGTATGTTTACAACTATGGAATGTATTCATCCCCTAATATGGTTTACCCTTCCCATGAGGCATCCCTTATAGTCCTCAAGGGTGATCTCTCTTCTCACCACATTTTTTCACACCCTTACACTTCTTATGATCAACCTCATCCAACCGATAAGCATACAACTTACTTCCTTGGACCTACACACCGCACCGGCTCGGGGATAAATAAATACATAATTTAACTGATAGTTAATAGCCTAAGTAGACAGAGATACCTAGCCTCCACCACAGGTCTCTGTCTCATCATTTGGATTTGAAAAATAATGTGTCTTATGCTAAGACACAGAGAACAGTCATAGACCATATAATATTGAGATCTGTAGAGGAAGCTGAGAGTTACCCCTGTTGTGTAACTTACAGCTTCTATTTATAGCTGAACAGCTTGCCAAAAGATACCAAGCCAAATTTTATCAAATAAAGATAAAAAAAACTCCACTCAAGCCAAATGAATAATAAGAGCTATAAAACAAGTAAACAATAAAATTTATAAGATCATATCACATATTATTATGACACGATGTCTCAATGCGAAGTTATTAAATGCCTAGACATACCTTCATATTTAAAGTTTCTCGAGAATTGAGACAGCGTGTGTAGATTTTTTTTCCTAGCAACTTTGTCCAGAGTGGCAAAATGAGTTAGTGCCTGGCATCCTGATTTTAGGAAGTGCAGCACATCTTCCACTGAAACCTAAGTCATTCAAATTATAGTGTTGATACAAGGCCAAATTCATAAGTATTAATAACAATAATATCTTGGTTTTGATCACAATAATTTCATCATTACACTAAACAACAGTCCGAATATCGGTATCTAAGTCATTGAATATTTGAATTCGAAATAAACAGAGTTTGCACAACAATTACATACCTTATATTTACAGATTTCCGAGTCAGGTTTTTTCACTTTAACGCCAGAACAGCAAGCTGATTCAGTTGTTGAATTTGCAGCCATTTACGTAACAAAAATATTTGGAAAAATCTTTGAAACAAGTCAGAGAACACGTGTTGAACGGTAAACAAGTTGCGAAATTTATGAACAGAATGTAATTTATGCGCGCATGCCTAGAACAGCGACACTCATATATTTTGCAAGTCATAAATTTTGTGTGACACTGGCCAAGCGAGTTGACTCGGTTGGCTGGGACGAGTTGAGTCATGCAATTACATGGGAAATGTTACATACCTAAATTTGGCGGGAATTACAAAATTATAAATACCATCAATGTTTATTTGAATTTCAAATATGGATCCCCATCGTTTTCGTCAATTCTGCCTCATAATTGTTTTTCCAACTTTTTTGCTTGCTATATGTTTACACAAATAAATGTATAGCGATTTACTACGCCACAAAGCAAACTATTGCTAGAAGAAAAGCTCGACACGTCAGAATGAGAAGACTGCTGAGAAAGAAGTGATCGCTTTGGGTAAAGAATGGAAGAACTGACGCCTGGTGGAGAAATATGATTAACAGCATATCGGCATCAGAAGACTGGAAAAGGAATTTCCGTATGTCCAAAGAACAGTTTATTGAACTGTGCAAAGAACTTCGACCCTTTATTAACCCTGGTAAAACACCAAATTATCTTTCATTATCCGTTGAAAAAAAAAGTTGGCGTCACGTTGTATTATTTAAAAGATACTGGGTCTATCTGGATGACGGCGAATGCTTTTGGTATACATCAGTGTACTGTATCAAAGATTATCCTTGAAGCTTGTACAGCTATATCTAACCATCTCTCTCCTAAATATATCCATCTACCCCAAACAGAAGATGAAATAAAAGCTAAAGTCGCAGAGTTTGAAGCACGTTTTGGCATGGTACAGGCGTTTGGAAGCATTGATGGCACACAAATTCCAGTTCTAAGACCAATTGTTGACTCTGAAGGTTATTTTAATTATAAACAATTTTTCTCTATCAGTGTACAAGCAGTGTGCAATGTTAAAGGCTATTTCATGGATGTAGAGTGCAGATGGGCAGGTAGTGTCCATGATGCAAAGGTATTTTTAAATTCCTTTGTAAGCAATAAGTTACAATCTGGTGAACTACCTCAAACCTTCAACCATCTACTACCTGGTCATAACCCTATTCCAAACTATGTTATTGGTGACCCTGCTTATCCTTTAACACCACATTGTATAAAAGAATTTCAGTCATGCAAGACTGATGCCGAGGTGATTTTTAATAACATGTAAATTTCCCCCGAAACCCTATAGGGTGCGCATTTGGTCGTCTAACGGCGAGGTGGTTGATTCTAACAAGAAAAATGGATCTCAAACTGGAAACAATTCCAAAAGTTGTTTTGTCATGTTTTATGCTCCACAACTTTTGTGAGCTTCACAATGATACCATTGACGAAGAACTTGTTAGAAACCAAGTTGCAAGAAACAGATCAATGGAGACTGTTTATCAAAATGTTCCTGATCCAGTTTATTCTTGCACTACTCAGGAAGGTGAAGCTATAAGGGATGTCTTACACAATATATACAAGTAAACCTACCTGATAACAACTAAAGTACCATCAAAAGTACCACCTTGTAATATAATATAATATGTTGATTAACTAATAAACAACTCAAATAAACGTTAGTCAAAATGTTTTGTTGTTAGCAATTTATTAAGACAGTATAATATCATACCAGAAATACATTGCATGCAAAGTCCCCTCACCTAAAGCAATAAACATATATTTCCATCACTGAAGTGAAATGCTATAATACTTGTTTCTGCCGAATAGTCAAAGTTGTAAAGTAAAATCCTATATCTTGGTACAATTACAAAGTCGACTCTCCAGCTATCAAATTTGACTATAATCATATTAATAAATTGTGCTACGAATAGTTTTAAATACTCCAATTTTAGCAAAATTTCAATTACTTTTTAAACAGATTCACCTTTAAAAATAAATACTTTCTTCCAAATCAAAATCATTTCAACGAAATTGACGAATAAATTCAAAACTTACAAAATACTTGCATGGTTTAAAATACAAAATCTAGCCGTTTACCTGTTCAACAGCACTTAAAAATGCCTCAAAATTGTAGGTTTTTTACCATCCATTTGATTGAAAGTTTTTCTAACCGAAGGCATTTTTTTCACTTATATTTTAATCAATTTTACGAGTCAATTTTTCGTATATTTTTAAGACCATCCAAATGAAAAATATTATTTAAAAAAAGTTTTATCAGTTATGCTGACGTGATCCAAATTTTAATTTACCCAATCCCACGTTTGTAAATGTTTGCTAATTACCAGTTTTAACTCGTCTTAAACTCACGCATGTGCATAACTTACAAAAACGCCCAACGTCCATGACATAATGGCGGACAACTTTCATTTCGCATTTCCATTCCCGGGCGTAATTAAAATCTCCGGGCGGAATTAGTACCCTCACGGCTTGGGGATGAACATTAAAATATGAACATTAATGGTATTGTACATGACCACATTTAGCTAAAAAACCCAATTAATTATCAATGTGAAAACAAATAACTTTAATTAATCACCATAGCATGTTTTGCGTTTAAAACTTATAAAAAGTTTGTTGCTCATTATCTTTATTCTCGCTGTTATTACTACCAGGTGCCATGATTCATATACTGTGGTGCTGCACCATGTTCAATTGATCTTGGCACTCATGGCCTTCATAGACTCAGTAAATATATTATTAGATTCCTTTAGAGAACTTGATAAATCGTAGAGAACTTGATAACTGTCTTTCCATATGTTGCCGTTTATTGTCTATGAGTATTGGAACTTGGTTTGAAGCCAGGCGTTTGCGGGTTGTCGCTTCATTATTTGCACTACTGGTACCAACTACATTATTACCAAGAGAAATAGTTAGGAAATCATCAGAATCATATTCATTTTCTTCAGTTCCTAAACCAGAATTACCAGATATATCAACACCTTGTTCTTGACTTTCGTCTGCTTGACCAGCTGAATAAGCACCAAAAGAAAGAGGCTCAGTGGATGGAGCCCCATCCCATACAGGGCTCAAAATAACAGTCAAAATATCAGCGGTCAAAATGACCGGTCAAATCTATTTTAGCTCGGTCAAAATAGGTTTTTAACCGGTCATGCACTAATACAAATAATTTAAAATAAAGACAAGATCAAAAAATGTTTTCAGTCATACAGATTCTTATTTTTGACATTTTAAATGCTCAATTTGAGGAGGAAAATTGATGTTTCGTGCATCGCCTTTCTATAGTGCTATCGGTAAAATCATTAGAATTATAGTTTGAAAACGTTGGCACAAAACACACATGAATATCGTGGATGGATGAATCTATTAGTAATAACTTGCATGTACAAGAAAAACTCAACTGAACATCTCCATCGGTTATAGAGATGGTAATCAGTAAATAAGATTATAAAACAAACTTTTAAAAATAAACTTGAATTACATAAATGACGTAGACATAACACTTTTCACTATTGCCTTGCATAAAGGCCAAGAACAAACACTGTTTTTCCGCATATGCATAAATTGATTTAGGTCTTTTTTTGCGTACAATAATTCGCGACTTCGCCGCTAGAAACATGTGTAGTGTCACGTGGTCAAAATCCTGAAATGCGGACACTTTCCGGCCATAGTGTATATACAAGATACAGACAGTAGCGCTCTAATGTCAAAATCTGGGCCATCTTATTTAAATCAACTGATTTACATATAGCTTGTCTGTAAAAAAATACAATAGTTGGACCGCAACCTACGAACTTCAAGGCAATGACTGTAGCCGCAATAAAGAAATATTTGCAAGCGCGTGGCGTAAGTGTCAATGGCTATCTGAAGTCTGGTCTCGTCGAAATCGCAATCGCAGTTGAGAAGATGATGTTACCGCTAGATCCTAACTTTGAAACGGTAGAAAATGGCGACACATTGAAACAAAGGTTATTTATTCATGACGTTCAGATTGATGACGCTTTTACTATGACAATGAAGAACGATTTCATTGATTCTCCACCATTTGGACTATATTATATTTTTAACCACCTTATTTATCATGCCACCGAATACGACAAGCAAGGTCTAGCTGCCTATAAGTCCTTCGAAGACTACCGACTTTTTCAAGATGGTTATGTTCGATCACTAAAAACTGTGAGTGTAATAGATGCAGGGGTATATGTATATGTCGGCCAGGTGCAACCAACTATGCGAGCAAAAACTGATGGGGGGAAAGACTGTTATTCGTTGTGGTTCATCTTGAAAGGTCCAGGGGCAAACAGAGGGAGTGTGCTTGATGCATTTTGTGAATGTAAGGGTGGACGGGACGGTGGTTGCAAGCATATAGCAGCTGCAATGTACTCACTAGAAGAACTGTTAAACCAGGATGGAAAAAAGAGTGTGACAAGTGGCCCTTGCTTGTGGATGCCAAAACCACAATCCTCCAGTCAGCCATGTGCTGTAGACCAACTGGAAATCATTAAAATCAAGCCACCAGCTGAGAAAAAAAGAAAGAGGAACTATACATGGCTACAAAACATTGATTTTGACCCCCGAAGTCCAAAGCATTGCAAGGTTTCGCCCATGACAAAGGAGCGTTTTACTGAGAGGCTCAGTGCTGTTTCTGATACCACATCCAACAATGATTCATCACCACCTGCACCAGTTATACTGCCCCTTTTACAGAAGCTATATATAAAGAAAACTGATGAAAATCATAGTGGCAAAAAGTCCGACTCCCAAACTTTGTGTGGCAAGGAATGCAGCATGAATCAAAGCACTGGAATAATGAGGCAAAAGGTGGAAACTTACATTCGGGAATCAACTGAAAAGAACCCTGAAAAGTTCCGAAACATGCTATATTTTACTGATGGTGAAATTAATCATGTAGAGGAAGTCACCCGGGACCAGTGGCAATGCGATGATTGGTATGAGCACAAAATTGGTTTTATAACAGCTTCAAAGTGTAAAGATGTTTGTACAAGGCAAACAACATTAGAAAAGAAGAATGATTTTGGTACTACTGCTCTTGCAAGAGCTATTGCAACACAGCCAAAAAAAACAGTAAAGACTGTTGAAAACAACCCACATACCCCACGTAGTTGGGGATTAAAACATGAAGAGTCAGCCAAAGATTCCTATTTACATGTGCAAAAACATTTGCACTATAATGTGAGACTTCTGAAGATGGGATTTCTTATTTCAAAGAAAAAACCATTTGTGGGTGCAAGTGCTGACAACATAAGAACATGTGAATGTGCAAGTGGATGCAAAGATATACTTGTGGAGTATAAGTGTCCATGGGTACATAGAAATCTTGACCCCAAAGAAGCATTTCTTACAAAAGAAATAGGGGGTGTGAAAGTGGATAATGTTGAACAACTGAGGCCAGATTCCAAGTATTACCACCAAGTTCAAGTGATATTATTCGTAACTGACCTTGATACTTGTGACTTTGTTGTTTGGACTTTAAAGGGAATCCACTGTGTTAAAGTTGACATCAACAAATGTTTTATTGAAAATGTTATGCTAAAACTAGAGAGGTTTTGGTTGTCACAGGTTGTACCTCTGTTGTTTGATGAGAATGACACAGCGAATGAAAAAGGTCAGTACATAAATTGTAAAAATGATGTCTAAAATTTCTGGAAAAACTTTGGTTTGGTTCAATATAAGAATTTGTAAATAATTTACAAATACAGTGGCTGT